TAGCATGTGAGAGCAAGGAGTTTGTGGGTGGCCATGTAGTCAGGCAAAGAGAGGCTTGCATGTTGGGCATGGAGCGGAGGTTACTTGTTCTTTGCATGTGTGTTGAGAACTTCAGTCTCCAAACGATCACACGTAAACTCTTCTGTCTTCGTTTCTAGTGTAAGCCCTAGGAAAAAGGGAATGTGCCTAAGTGGGTTTGGACGAGTGCTTTGTAGGAGGAGATCTGGGAAAGTAAGGAGGCCTCGAAACAGCTACGAAGAGTAGTCCGAAAGTGGTTTGGCATGTGATGAAACTAAACAGCATGTGGAGGAATTTTGGATACAAACATCAAGGGTTTAAATCGTATTTCAGGGAATATAAATTTATACAAGGTGCATGTGGTATCGAAAAAAAGAATGCTGCTGCTGAGTGGTCTTGGGAGAGATTGAAGGCGGCGAGGATAGCTTAGCCGTGCAGCTAAAGGTCTCAGGAGTTTGAGAGAAGAGCCAGTCGTGAAGTGACTCCTGTTTTTGTGCTGAGAGACGTGCCAGTGGAAGAGTTTGGAGCTCCTTTGGAAAGGAGAGCTGGAAGTACTTTGAGAGTTTAGATGGGTGGGCAAAAGAGAAGTTATAGATACCTCTTGTTTCCAGGACTTGGGAGGATCAGAAAGAGAGCTCCATGCGCATTACTGGAAACACAGGTGCCTGATTTCTCAGTCTGTTGTCACGATGCCTTTAGAAAGCAGAGCTTTCCCTGTTTGTCTTCAGCTTATTTTCTGAGGTGTTGCACCAAATCGCTGTGCTTGGAAACCCAATTTTCCTTTAAGTGTCTAGTTGTAGAACTGGGTTTTAAAAACAGTGCTGCAGAAGTCAGTGCACCGAAAGGACTGGTTTCCAGGGGTGTTGCGACCCGATAGCTGTTCCAGGGCATAGCGTGACCGTACCCATTCCTTGTGCATCTTCCAGCATCCCCTTGTTGCCTCAGCTTCATCTGTCTTTTTCCCCCTTGCTCTCTGTTCAAGAAAACTGCAAGAATCTGAATGTTAGTGCTGTTCATGTGAAGTTGTGGGTGAAGCCACTTGACTGAATAGGCTCAGTGACTTTCCTGCTTTGGTTGCCTTGCATGCACTTTTCAGGAAGTGAGTGAAGATGAGTGAGTTGTGATTACACCGTTTTTAACTGCTTACTAAAGTCTTTCATCTTTCCTCTGTTAATTAATGCGAACTGCTTTAGCAGTGTTCTAGTTTTAAAGTAAAAAAAATCAAGAACGTGCATGTGGATTTTGAGCGTTATTTTAAAACATGTTGTCAACTCCACGTTGGCCTTGCAGAAAAAGCTCCTTTTATGTGTTTCTGAGGAAATCTAGAACGAGGAATGTGCACCAGGCATCCTGCTGCAGCTGCTGAGGGCAGGGTTGGAGCTTGCACTGCAGCAGACACCCTGTGATCGTTGAACTGGAGCGATAATCTTGAGTCACCCGCTTCCTCTGACAACTGACTGCCAGCAGGACTTCAACGGACTCTATTCCTACTGCAGATCATAACGCCTGTCAGCTTCAGCGTTTGGGGTTGTAGACCCTTGGCAAAGAAACACCAGGAAAGGGAACCGGCAGATGCTTACCTTAATTTGATGGTATTGATGGGTGATACCAGTTTGGGGAGAACTTGTCAGCGTGGTTTTGAGTCCTAGAGGCAGGCAGAAGACTTGGAACAACTGGGTACTTTTTAGAGTAATTGGCAAAACACTCTCAGAAGCCTCAGACTATGTCCATGTCCTTTCCTTTTCCTCTTTTGTATTTCTTTTACTCCTTCTTATGTTCACTCCTAAAAAGAGATGTTCCTCACGCCCAAGCTCTCTGTTAGGAAGGAATTACTGATACTGTAGTAGATCTTTAACAACAGCTAAAACCTAGAAGCAAAGGGGACAGAAAACACGTTTGCAAAAGTTACTTAATTTTTTTTTTCCAAATCTGGTTTATAACAGTAGAGATCTAATTCAGTGTCCAAGAAACCATGCTGTGTCCACCACACAGACAGACAGTTTGTAAGGACTATTTTAAGAAGAGAGGAGAGGAAACAAAAAAAACCTAACAACTTTTGGAGGTCATCTTTAAGCGTCTGGAACAAAGCCTTGCTCTTAAGGGAGGATTTCCAGACTTTCAGAGTATTTTAAATGTTGTTCATCCAACTAAGAGTGAAGTTAAGACAGCTGCCTCTCAGCGGGGTTACACTAGTTTAATATGAGGATTTTCTTTTTAAACTGACTTTGCTAAACTGGAGGAAAAGCTAGTATGAAAGGCTTTTTTCTTTTTTCTTCTGTTTCTTACTTCTGCTGTTAATAAAACTAAAGTTGATGACATGCAATTTTACTTTTTAAAATTAAATTGAAAGTACTCTTCAGGCTTGGTAAACTATTAAACAGCTACGGTGTAGTGCAAGTTTGTGCATGAAGAATCTTTGCATTCCACACCGAGTGCAGGCTTTTCTACTGTTTTACCGTCTGGGTGTTTCTTAAGCTGCTGTGAATGTCTTGTGATGTTACAGTGGTAAGCGTGATATAGTGCACCAATCTAGAATTTTACTTTGGGAGACAGACGGGCATGTTTCTGCAGAGCTGACGGCAGACCTTTTGAAACAGTCCGAGTATATGTGTATTGTTAGTGAAGG